AAAACAAAACAAAACATGCTTTTAAAAGGGGAATTTGGCAGAAGGCTGTTTAGAAAGTTGTTCAAAACCCAAAGGGTACCCTTCAAGTTGGCAATGGTAGGATAGCCATATAATAGAGTAATTCCATATATTTGTGTCATCCTGAAATTTTTTTGTGTTAAGATTAGTTTGGGTCAAAGAAACACCTAGTTGCTACTATCCTTTTGGCACTTTGAGTGTTGGTCAGCTCCTAATTTAGGTAACCAAGCTGTCCCATGACATATTTTTAAATTTTAGATACGCTCAAAATTTTCCATATTTGTTCCAGTATCTCTAGAGCAGTATTGTCTGATAGAACTTGTTGATGGGAAAGTTCTCTATCTACACTGTCAAATATGGTAGCCACTAGCTACATGGAGCTATTTAGCATTTAAAATGTGGCTAGTTGCAGTTGAGGAACTGAATTTTAAATTTCATTTATTTTTAATTAATTTAAAATTGAAATTAGCCTTATGTGGCTAGTGGTTACTATATTGGGGACAGCGTGACTCTAGGGGTTCAAACTCATCTGGTTTGCTAAGCTCTATAGACTGACCTGAATTCTCTGGCTTGCTCAATACTGTCCAATACCATTCTGTATTGTTCATTGCTTTATTCTCAGTATCTGGAATACTGGCTAGCACATGGAGGTGCTCAATAAATATCTGGTAAATGAATGAAATTTGTGGTAATATATAGCTATTCAAGCCTGGTCAACTACTCACAGCTTATTGGCAATATGCTCTGGTACTCTCAGGAAAAATAGAGAAGTGAAGCCAAACTATTCTATGTAAGTGGAATTGCTTGAAGACTTCATATGTCTAGGGAGAACAGGAGCAGCTTCATTATAGCTCAAAGAAAAGAACTAGAAATAGTTGTGGATGAATAATTTAGGTTGATAAGTATGGGAATACTGAAGGGAGAATATAATATTTAATGGTAAGGAATTTAGAAAGGATGTGGATAACAGTTGATGAGAGTGATTAAGAGGAAAAAAATTACTTCAGATTAAAAAACCTAAATTCAGATTGTATACATGACTGAAGGATGGAAACTGAATATAGAGAAGTCTTTTATTTTTTTTAAGATTTTATTTATTTATTTGACAGAGAGAGACACAGCGAGAGAGGGAACACAAGAAGGGGGAGTGGGAGAAGGAGAAGCAGGCTCCCCGCTGAGCAGGGAGCCCGATGCAGGGCTCAATCCCAGGACCCTGGGACCATGACCTGAGCCGAAGGCAGACGCTTAACAACTGAGCCATCCAGGCGCCCCTGAATATAGAGAGGTCTTGAAGAAATAGTAATCTGGTTAGGCAATAATAGAGCTTAACAAAGGGATTTGGCAATGGAAAAACAAATATTTTTATAAAGTTAGCTGAAAAGGGGACATAAAATAATATAAATAGACCATGTAGCATCAAGAGGTCAGAAAAATCACTGGTATTGTTTTGATTTTTAGGAGAGAAGAAAGATGAGCAAACTAACATTAAGATGTATGGATTCTGAAAATAAAATGTAAAAAATTGTGTATTCGTGATTTTGAGTTAGAGGAGGGAGTGACCACTCATTCAGGTGTTTTTTGTTTTTTAGGGTTAAATTAGGAAGAGAATCAGAGCACTAAGGTCAGAGTCACTATTAAACACTATTAAAGTGCAGAAGAAAACAGGAAAACTCCCTTATAAGACAGTTTACAGGGCAAAGGGAATAGTGCCATGATTAGTAGTTGGTAAAAGAAGAAATATATTTTTGAAAGAGATACTGACTCAAACTGAATGTAAGGAAAGAGAACCATATCTGAGAATTAATAAAATTTGAACACAGGCTGTTGACAGTATTGAATTTAAGAGAATCTAGGAGGACAAGAACTAGGATAAGACCCTTGGAATTTGGCTAAGTCATCAAATCTTGGCAATAAGTCTTACATGAGCTGTTTGAATAGATCTCAGTATTGAAGGAACAGTAATTTCATATGGAATGGAAAAGACACCCCTATACTCTTCCTTATTGCCTTTCCAAAACAGATAAATTTAAAATATCTTTAGTGAAATATGTAATACAAAATCCTCCTGCTTGTTTTCATATATCCTTAAAGTAGGGGATGATGGTATCCAAAAAAAGTTTCCAATTCTGTAAGCGATTAAAATTTGATGAGTTGACTCTTGTGAAAAAGAAGGTGCTTATCCAAGTAACCTGTGTGCTAAGGGGAAAGAAAGAAGATTGAGCAAAATGAGAAAAAATGTCCAATCAGAAGGAATGACAGACTCAGAATGCAAGGGAATTAAGTGCTCAAACTCAGAATGGAAATATGTAACTGGATATGCAAATAAAATATGCTACACATATGAGATAGCTTTTCCCCCATAAAAGAAGCATAACATTGACTTAGAATACTGTATCAACTAATATCTACCTTTGCAGTGTCATTAATATATACCTCAAATTATCTTTATCCACACTTAACCCCCATTGATTAATAACTATTTTGGCTGGTAAGAACTTATGACAAATGTAAATATTAAAGTAGTCCAGAGGCCCAGGGTCAAATAATTCATGTTAGGTTAAAAATAGATTAAAAAGAAATAATTAGGGGCGCCTGGGTGGCTCAGTCAGTTAAGTGGCAGCCTTCAGCTCAGGTCATGATCCCAGCCAGGGTCCTGGGATCGAGCCCCACGTTGGGCTCCCTGCTTAGCGGAGAGCCTGCTTCTCCCTCTCCCTCTGTCTGCCACTCTGCCTACTTATGCTCTCTCTCTATCAAATAAATAATCTTTAAAAAAATAAAAAGAAAAATTAAAAATAGAAACATAAGCAAAGCATTTGTACTGTATTTCACATTACACTTTATAAGGATGCATGATCCCAGCAATGGGCTAACCCAAGAGTTGTGAAATTATGGCCTTCAGACCAAGTCTGGCCCATCTTTTGTTTTTGTAAATAAAGTTTTACTGGCACACAGTCAACTCATTGTTTATATTTTATCTGTGGTCGTTTTCATGCTACAAGTATCAAATAGTTGAGATAGAGACTGTGTAGCCTCAAAGCTAAAAATATTTACTGTTGGGCCCTTTATATAAAGTTTGTTGACTCCTGCTTTAACCTGTTCAGGCTGCAAAGAAATTTTCAGGCCGAGCACTTCTGAAAATCTATGAAAGAAAACCTTAATAAGATGCCTTAAAGAGTGTATATACTCCATATTGTGGAAATAAATAATCACCAACCTCAAATACATTGGATTCAGCTTGATTAAATGAAAGTCAAAATCAGACATTACAAGTTTAATAGAAATCTTGAGAGAAACTCAGAAGCTATTGAAACTAATGTTTTTGAGACTACAAAGAACAGGATTAACTAGGTACATGTTTAGATATATAAGATTAGTGAGTATCTATGCACTAGTTACCATAATGTTTAAGTTAAATCTATACTTATTCTGTTTTACCATCAGAAACTGAGTTTCCTGTCTTTACAAAAGCACAAAGAACTATCTTGTAATACTGAAGTTTGTTTCTAATACTTCCAAGGCCTTGACGTTCTAACACTGGGACTATTAGTGTTTTTTAAATAGAAAATTACATTTGTTATATTTGTTGTGGTAACTTGTGTTTATTTAATGTGGTAAACTGTATTTGCAATGTCTGGTTGATATTATCCTTATCAGCCTGCTTCCTATGTCATTGCTTACCTAGTTTGAATAGCCTCAACCAGTATGGAAGACTTAAAAGCTCTTAGAATTAGGAACATGTGGCTAAAGACATTCCTCCTTGCAAAAATTTATGTTACAAGTGAAATAAAGTGACTCTAACACAGAGGCAAACTTTTTGTTTTTTAATTTTTGTTTCTTCTCTCTATATATTACAGGTACAACATAGGTTTTCATAAATAGTTGCAAGAAATTAACTGTTTTTGTGTATGTGTGCAATGGACTCCTTTGGCAGTATATTGAGGTATATGGACCCCTTCTCAGAACCATGTTTTTAAATATAAAATATATAGGATTATAAAGTTATATTGTAATACATTTTTGTCCACAGCCTCTTTGGGGGGGTGGTCTTTGGACTAAATTAACTTTAAAACTCAATGCAGAATCTTAGTAACTCTTTTCCTTGAACTTAAAGATTAAATGTAAATGATTAGAACAGTGGTTATTCTATAATACCATTGAGAAATCAGTATGTAACTTTTTTGCTACAAAGGTACTCATGACAGCATATAGACCCCATCTCTTGTACACAATCATCATTAACATTTTGAGTATAAAAAATGACATAATATTCAGTTTGGTTATCTTAATGTAATCTCAGATGCAATTTTAACATTTCAGGAAAACCAAATGCAACAAGATTCAGGTATGTATATTTAAGAGCAGCAACATGATTCTGAACTTAATTA